ACAGAAATGTGAAGGTGCATTAAAATAGTGAAAGACGTCTTCCAGAAACTAAGTAGAGTATTAAAACACAGGAATATTTCATGAGAAACAAAGAAAAGAGTGTTGAACTGCTATGTTATAGCTTCTTATATGGCAGTGAATGCTCGACAATTTTCTCACAAATGAAGAAGAGATTAGTAATTAGTGTAACCTAGGAAAAGGTTACTAGATAAGAATAACCGAAACGAAGGTTGGAAATGAACGATAATATTTATAACAGAAACAACATAAGATTCGCCTGCAGCATATAGTAAGTAATCAACTGTTAGTAGTGAGCTAGAAGTGAATAAAGATGAATCACAAGTGAATCAACATAGTGTATATCTCATTGTATTTATAGGAATTAGGGCATACCCATTATAGTACATAGGTACAGTATAACATTAATAAAGATTTATTTTTTTTTTTTTTACTAATTGTTCACCCAGTACATGGTGCCCGAGCCACTGAAGGTAGATGGTTACTGATTAAGGTTGTTGCATATAAGTGGAGGTAGTAGGAAGTGTAATTTAAGAGGATATGTAGGAAAGATAATGATTAATCCTAGATTTAAAGAGGTTAAACATGTAGTGATCTGGAAATATCCTCTTAGCTGTTTTTTTTTCTTGACACAACAGTTCTTGGGAAGTTGTAGAGTGGAAAATAATTCAACACCCACAAGGCTATGAAGATGCTTTTGAACTCTACCAAGTCTACCAACTCTGCTGGAAACAGATGATAAGAAGCATCTTTATGGCCTTGTGGGTAATGAATTATTTTTCACCCCTACAACTTCCCAAGGAGTTTGTATCTTTTGTCTGTGGTATTCTCAGTTTTATGGTTACATTTCTAAAAAACAAAATAAAAACACTTTCCCTTTCCTACAATATTTTTCCCCTTGTTTTATTTTGGTCAAATTTACTTACAGTAAATATTTCATTTAATATCTCATTTTCTTTGTGACATTTTCCAATATTTGTCATTACACGAAAATACAAACAATTTAGCAGAAACACCAGATTGAACTTTATTAGTCAACAAAACAAGAAAAATATATGTAATATCTATAACTAAGTGTCATTAACATATCCATCATTGTTCATATGAACCTCTTTGCTGAAATGAAACATTATGTTAACAACAGCAGCTATAATGGAAAGAGAACTGAGCACTTGAATAATGTTGGAGATATAATTAAAAATAAAAAAAAAAATAAAAATGTGTTAGTCTTGTTTTTATTAGTTTGAACTCATTAACTGAAGAGAAGTGTTTCATACACAATACAAGAGAGACTTGGATACCAAACAAGGATAATAGTACCGAATGTAAATAAAATATGATTAAAAGCAAAGTTGGCACGAATGTTATATCTTAACTGTGTCTTTGGCTAATACCTGGTTTTATAGGGTTTATATCAAATGTAATCTTTCAAGACGCTTATAATTTGGATAACAGAGGATCTCAGTGACTGAAGGCAGTAAAAAAAAAAAAAAAAAAGTTCAGAAAATGTTACAAATTTAATCTAATAATGTTGAAATGCAAATGAATATAATGTGCTTTTGGAAGAGGTTTTGTTGTTTATATATCAGTGAATAGAAAAACTCTGAAAATTAAATAAAAGTAATTTAATAGAGTATTTTTTATTCTACACCATTTTTTATTCTATTTGTTTCCGATAACTGTATAAAATACAACAGGGTTCTAACAATCGATTGAACAAAACAAACCTATTTTATTAATGTGTTTTAGCATTTCCTCACAAAAATAAAAGATAAAATTTCTCAGAGTTGATATAGAATTAATAAAACTTAAAAGGCTTATCATAGAAGCATAACCTCCCCCCCACCCCACATGCATATACACCCATGCACTAAATGGGAGGTGAATCTTTTGGAGAACTCAAAATTCTAAAAGCGAAACCTTAGATAACAACAACAGGAATATTTCAAAAGAGATGATGTCTTACTGATGCTTTTAAAATAATGCTTACAGGCAAAGAAACAAATTGATGCGCAAAGGATCATCATGTATAAAATTAATTTTTAATGTTGTTCCAGCATTACTATTTCTTAAAGCATTTTTGCAGCAACTTAATGCAAATAGGTAAATGTTCCTTCTTAGTAAATGTAATACATGAATGCATGCATATATACACAGCCAAGTTACGTCATGATATTTTTTGATCATGGCTGTTGAATGGGTGGGGAGGAATGTCTTATACACTGACAGAAAATAACAACCAAAACAACAATGCTAATTTACATATGAGTACTGTATATGAATCCTAAAAGGCAGTAGATATTCTGTTAAAGTTTACAAAACCATCTTTTGATGTAATAACACACATACCTCTGCACTATTATGATTGATTTGTTTGTTTTTTTATAGCTTATCAACCCTTTGTGAACTATTTATTTGTGCACTGGTATGTGTGTTACTAAGTACTCATGTACTTATATGGACAATTGGCATTGTCCTTAAGGTTGTTAAAATTTTATTTTCTGTCAGTGTATAAAGCATTACTTATCTTATTTAACAGCCATGACTGGAACATATTTTGTGATTGTAAGAATATTCTTTTTTTGCAAGTGAATATGGCATTAATAATTTTTGAAGAATTTTCAGATACAAGTCCTATTATTTAACCCATAGGTTAGCGGGAATGGATAGAGCACTTTCTACTTTTTTTTTTTTTTAATATCAACTCACCCAGATGCAAAGAGATACTGGGAGTGAAAGAGAATGAACAAACTTAATGACTCAGAAGCCCAATCCTAAGCAGGAAACAAGGGATAAACCTCTACTCCTGTTCCAAAAACCAGTGAGGAGTGTGAACTGGGCAAAAAGGGGAACATATCTACTCCTGTTGTATGAGATTTAGGCAGTGACACAAAGTTCAGTGTGGCAAAAGAGTCCAGTTCAAACAGGTTTCATAACATGGTGATACATATGTTCTTCTTTTGTTTAATTTTTTATGCATTTTAGAGGGGATCAGATTGTGGGCCTGTAGCAAAGAAAACAGGAGCAGCTTTTACCAACTGAATTTACCATGTGTTGTTCCCTGCCAAAAATGGCCGAAAAAAAACAGAAAAACTTGTTTCTAATTCTCTTTCATAGAGAGATTAACAGCTTATGCAAATTTGTATTTATATTTTTATTTTAATTATATTTATTGGGTGTCTTGGGTGTATGTAAACTCTTAATTTTGAGAAGCTAGCAGTTTGAATTGGGAGGAGTAATTGGTCTTGCCGTTCATGGGCAATGTGTTGATTCTTTTGTGGCCTGTGACTCTGCAATTCTTGAGACCTACATATGTTTTGACTGATACAAGGCCCTTGAGAATAGATTATTCAAAACATAGCCAAAAGGAATAGAAATCTGTTTTGGAAAATACTCTTATGACACTTCTGTATTGAATAGTAGGAAGATGCAGATTATCATCAATCAAGTTAATTTAGGTTTAGCAAATTAACAGTAATCAACATCTGGCTGTATAATCCTAAGTATTCCTTACAGAATATCTTTCTCTATTAAGAATGTCCAGGAAACTGTTCCTAAATTTTCTCTCTTCAACTAATATTAAAGAAAAGGAGTTATAAATGTTATTTTATATGGTATTTCTACAAATTGTACTACTTCAGTTACATTGAAATGTCTTTTCTATTTATTAGACTCAAGCATTAAAAAAAAATCCAAGAATAAATTTTTTATATATATATATATATATATATATATATATATATCCATGTTTCATTAAAAATGACAGACAAGGTACTATGGTTAAGCTTTTTATTTAATTTTTCTTGTGTTCTAACAAGAGCTTTCTTTTCTGGACAAAGGGTGTGTAAGAACTGTCCAAATGTTTTATATTTCCGAGCACTTTTGGCTATACCTTTAGCCATTATCAATTCATTTTTTTTCAGCTTAATTGAGTGTGTGTGTTCTGTGTATGTCAGTGTGTGGTAGGGATGTTATTAATTTCCGAATACGGTTAGCACATTGTGGCTTTGTTTATATATATATATATATATATATATATATATATATTAATTAAAGAAAGTGATTGATTTTTTTATTTATTTATTAATCCAACAGATTTTTATTACTTTGCTTGGCCACTGATGTACTCCATGTGTGAGAGGTCCAAAGTTCAAATCTAATGACGGGTTTTCCCTAGGGGAATGCAGTTTTAACTCCTGTTGGAGAGTACATATTTTTCTCTAATAAGATTTCTTGAATATTCAGGCTGGTAGAGGGAAATAAATAAACTGTTTATGCAATAAATAAACAAACAGAGATTCTACTCAAATAGGAGTATCCACTAAAAATAATGTTTAAGTAATAGAAATATATGTAATATAAATTTAGTCTGATGAAGTCTTAAAGGATGAAGTGTCACATGAAAACTTTCCACTTTTTCATGCTTATTTCCCCTAAAATTGTTCATTATATATATATATATATATATATATACACGCACATACAGAGAGAGAGAGAACAAATGCACCTATTACCTCAGTAATTTAAGTCCCCATTAAAAGAATCATTTTACTTTTATGGCATTCATCTATAGTTTCCTTTTCCTGGATATACAAATATCCCTTCATATATTCACTGAAAAATCTTGTCATTTCCTATTTTGTTGCAGAATGTGTCATTAAGATATTGCCAATTCAAACAAAAAAAATCCAGTCTGAAATTTGACTCTTTATATTTAAACCACAAACAGAGCCACTGGTCACACATTCCAACTTTACATTTTTTTTATAGGCAAAAGATGGGGGTTTACTTTGGGAGGAAGTGATTGGTTGATTAACACCCTATTCTAGCCATTTTTTCTGGTTGAATGAAAATTGATATATTTGATATAAGTATGTTGACCATGTTGACCATTAATGAACTTAGCAAAGAATAACATAAAAGAGAAAAATCTGTGGTTCATGACAAAACAGCTAATTTGTAGTTTTGTATAACAAAGAAACTATATAGGGTATAGTATAAAGGGGGTGAAGAGAGAGAGAAAGGCAAGAAAAAGAGAGGTTGAAGAGGAAAGGAGGGAGAAAAGAGAGGTTGAAGAGGAAAGGAGGGAGAAAAGAGAGGTTGAAGAGGAAAGGAGGGAGAAAAGAGAGGTTGAAGAGGAAAGGAGGGAGAAAAGAGAGGTTGAAGAGGAAAGGAGGGAGAAAAGAGAGGTTGAAGAGGAAAGGAGGGAGAAAAGAGAGGTTGAAGAGGAAAGGAGGGAGAAAAGAGAGGTTGAAGAGGAAAGGAGGAGAAAAGAGAGGTTGAAGAGGAAAGGAGGGAGAAAAGAGAGGTTGAAGAGGAAAGGAGGAGAAAAGAGAGGTTGAAGAGGAAAGGAGGGAGAAAAGAGAGGTTGAAGAGGAAAGGAGGGAGAAAAGAGAGGTTGAAGAGGAAAGGAGGGAGAAAAGAGAGGTTGAAGAGAAAAGGAGGGAGAAAAGAGAGGTTGAAGAGAAAAGGAGGGAGAAAAGAGAGGTTGAAGAGAAAAGGAGGGAGAAAAGAGAGGGAAGAGAAAAGGAGGGAGAAAAGGGAAGAAAAAGGAGGGAGAAAAGAGGGGGAGAGAAAAGGAGGGAGAAAAGAGAGGTGGAAGAGAAAAGGAGGGAGAAAAGAGAGGTGGAAGAGAAAAGGAGGGAGAAAAGAGAGGTGGAAGAGAAAAGGAGGGAGAAAAGAGAGGGTGGAAGAGAAAAGGGAGAAAAGGAGGGAGAAAAGAGAGGTGGAAGAGAAAAGGAGGGAGAAAAGAGGTGGAAGAGAAAAGGAGGGAAAAAGAGGGAGAAAAGAAAAGGAGGGAGAAAAGGAGGTGGAAGAGAAAAGGAGGGAGAAAAGAGAGGTGGAAGAGAAAAGGAGGGAGAAAAGAGAGGTGGAAGAGAAAAGGAGGGAGAAAAGAGAGGTGGAAGAGAAAAGGAGGGAGAAAAGAGAGGTGGAAGAGAAAAGGAGGGAGAAAAGAGAGGTGGAAGAGGAGAGGGAGAAAAGAGAGGTGGAAGAGGAGAGGGAGAAAAGAGAGGTGGAAGAGGAGAGGGAGAAAAGAGAGGTGGAAGAGGAGAGGGAGAAAAGAGAGGTGGAAGAGGAGAGGGAGAAAAGACGGGGAGAGAAAAGTGGTAAAGGAAGAGAGACAAAGAAAAAAAAAAGAATAGGAAGGGGTGAGGGAGAGAGGTGATGCAGAAGGGAAGAAAAAAAAAGAAAGACTTAATTATTTTTTTTTATAACTATTCAGCTGAAAACTACAAAAGATTGGTGACATTTAATTACAACCCATGTCAAAAAGAAAATATCTTTAATATCAAATACCAAAGGAATAGAAAGTTGAAATAGAAGATTCTTCTAAAATGTTAAAATGACTAGAAAAAAACTTTCACGCTTAACTTTCATAAAGCAATAGGTTTTATTCCTTCATTTTAAAAATAAATTTGGTTTACATTTGTAGGGAAAAAAAAATCTTCCTATTTTTTTTAATTTTTAAAAATGTCACCCTCATATGCATAGTACCCATAGAGTTAATGTTCTAAAGGAAAAAAAAAATCATTTCCAAGAATTTTGATTAAAAAAAACAAAAAAAAAAAACGATAACTTTTTTTTGTGTCAAGTAATTTTTATAAAAAGGTACAAGAAAGTCAAGTTAGATTTATAAAGCAGCTTGTTTTTAAAACCCATTGTATGTGTGTGTGTGTGTTATATATATGTATATATATATATATATAAAAATCACTTAAACATTATTTCTAGTGGATATCCATATTTGAGTAGACACTATTAAACAGTATATTTATTTTTTGTCTACTGGCCTGAATATTTGAGAAATCTTATTAAAGAAAAATATGTGTTCTCCAGCAGGATTTGAGCCTGTGTCCTCCTTGGCAGGGAAAAGTATCATTAGATACTATGTGCTTTAGAGCATCTCCACCATGAAGTGCATCAATGATCAACCAAAGTTGAAATCAGGGAAAGATTTGCATTTCTATGTCACTATTCAAAGAAGCACATTATACAGCCATGGAAAAGATTAAATGTATTTTTGCTGATTTTGCTATAAAATGTATTGTTGGTGATCCTATAAAATGAATGAAATTTTACTATAGAAATGTATTTTTATACTTTTAAAGAGTTTTGTTTTAATTTTTTATTTGAGAGTTCACTATTTGCCCATTGCTGGGACCCTTACAAGTGCTACCACCCTGAGTTGGGAGGGGGGGTCTGGGAACAACAGCAATTAAGTGGTTCCCACTCCTCAAAAACTCCTGATCAGAGGCCTTGCTGCTGGATGTAGTTTATCATCATACCCTGGGATAATTATCAGTTAATATAAGATTAAAAATTGTTAAGATTTAATGAAAGTCTTCAAGAAATTATTTACATTATTTACATTCAATCTTCAAGAAATGTTAAAACAAAATTTCTCCCCTGACCCCCAAAAAAAAGAAATAAAAATAACCTATAATCATCTGAAGATGGCCTTTGGAGAAAGAGTTGATTGTTTAAAACATCACCAAAAGGAAATCTGTTTTGGAAAATACACTTAAGACATACTTTTGTGTTGAATAGCAGGAAGATGAGGATTATCAGCAATCAAGTTATACAAATTAGCAGTAACCAACATCTGGCAGTGTAATCCTAAGTATCTCTTCTGGAATATCTTATTCCATTGAGAATTTTCAGACAAGTGTTCCTTAATTTTCTTCTCTTCAGGTTGTTTTTGTGAGGTCTACCTATGATAGATCAATTTCGAGCACTATTCTTTTAGTCACATTATATTAAACAAATTATCTTGTATGATGATATATATGAATAAAGCTTACGGAAAAGTAGTTCTGAAGATACTGGGATGCAAAATTCATACTCATATAGCTAGAAGGCTGCCAAAACTCCTTGCTTGTAATACAAACAGGAGTTTATTAAGCCATTGTGATGTTCACAACTGGCCATAAAAGAAAAAGATTCGTACAGTTGCATCTATAACACAGACCTTGTCTGGGTGGTTCATTTTGTTTGGCATGTGATGCAGGATTATTTCAGTTGATGAAGTAAGATACCAGTGGTGTAATGGTTACTGGCATGGAATCAAGAAAGAATCAACACAGTTCAAATCCTGGCTGAAGCAGTTTCAGGTTCACTTTGCACAAAGGCCCTTAGAGCACAGAGAAAGTAGATGCATGCCCTTTTCTGCCTTTGAAATATCTCATTTACACTATTGATATTTGGACTATTGTCTTCATTGTTGTTGTTACCAATGTTTTGGCCATTGTGCCCTCTGACTTTCCTTATATTGATCTGAGTAACCAACAGGGAAAGGTGTTTCAGAAGAGATACATCTAGTTCTTATAGTACTGCTTAGGTTTTGCTTGCCTGTTTCCACCGAGTCCATCCCTGGGTTGGGCAGTGTGAAATGGCTTGGTTTGTTGTGTTTTACAGTATATCAACCTCAATGGGTTATTTAATGCCAACAACTTTTTTTTTTTTTTTCCTGGTAATATTTTGTTTTATCAAAAATCTATTTCTGGTAATATTTTTTTCCTCAAAAATGTATAGCGAGTAATATTATTTTAAAACATCTATAGCTGGTAATATTATTTTAAAACATCTATAGCCGGTAATTTTTTTTTTTTTATTTCAAAAATATATTGCTGGTAATAATTTTTTTTTATATCAAAAATATATTGCTGGTAATAATTTTTTTTTATGTCAAAAATATATTGCTGGTAATATTTTTTTTTCTTATTTCAAAAATATATTGCTGGTAATATTTTCTTATTTCAAAAATTTATTTCTGGTAATAATTTTTTACAAAGTATTTCTGGTATTAAAACCTATTTTGACACTTTCATAATGCTTTTTACCTCAGTTTCATGGTTAACTATTTGCCCATCCCAGAAATTTAGGTAGAAATTCCAAATGACAAAAATCTCAGCACAAAGCTGCCATGACAGAAAAAAAAAATATAGGGGGTTGTGAGATTATTTTAGGAAACCACTCTCCTATAACTACCTTACCTGCTGAGGCACAAGCAGTTAAAAACTCATTCTTGCAGTCTGTCTCAATAGAGATGTAATTGTCTGTCTATATAGAATCAAACTTCTGTTGACCTGTATGTCTATTGATTAACATTTCAACTTTTGTCAGCCAAGAAAGGCTAAAGGGTTAATGCAATACCATGTTCTCACCTATTATAGGAGCACAATTCTGCTATTCAAAAGTTGTTTCAGTCTATTTGCAATCTTAAAAAGAAAGCTATTTTTGTTAATGCAGTCAGATAGATAAATCAATCCTTCAATTTTTAAACATGTGATTCACCCCCAAAAGAAGCCAGGGACTGTTTTGTTTTTTACTTTGAAAATATAAAGGACTAAGTCCTTAACTAAGTAGACTCTTGAAAGTTTACCATCACTTGTGTTCAAGTTAACACAAGCATCCTTGGGAAAGGCATGAATACATCTGTTCTCTCCCCAGTTATGGATTAAATAGCATGAGAGATTGAAGTTTCAAGCTTTAGACAGTAGGCTATCTCAAAGAAAGACAATTCTGAATTAAAAAATGGAGAAGTCAGTGGGTAATCATACCAAGAAATCATGGTATTTCACAGATAAAATAATCTGTTGAGCGGCATGGTCACCTATATCCTGAAGAGATATTGCATTAGCTACAATCTGCATACTGTTTTCAAGAAGCTTTTATAGATCCTAGAAAAAGTCATTTTATATCTGACCTCACTTTTCCAAGTGTATACTAATCTCACATGAAAGAAAAAAAAGATATCAGAGATATGTTTATTTATATAAATTATAAAGATAAAATTAAGCCCCATGTTTCAAAACTGTAAAGAAAAATCAAAATTTAGAAATGACAAATTTTTCCTTTTACTTGATTGAATATCACTAAAACTGGTAAAAACAGCAAAAGACTTATTTAAACTTGCCATTGTTTTAGCATCTGTAAAAGAAACTAAAGATCAGATAATTGAATACCATACTTGATAATAGGTGGACATTTGATGCCAAATCAAAATTATAGGTAAGAGTGAACTAAGCCTTTTCATATTTCAAATTTTGTTCAGACAATTGAACTAATATTAATTACATTAATAATGGATATTAACTCTACTGAGCCAGACAACACCATGTCTCATTTTCTTATTTGTTCAAATAGACTGACTCAAGGCTGTATTTCAGTACATTCAGCAAGAATTAAACCTACTTCCAAGGGATTGCAAGTCTAGTACACTTATAGTTGTATACAAGTATATTATACTTCTTGTCCCTCCCCTGGTTCCTTAGTTCAAACATATGTTACACCCCTGCCAATACCTCATAAATAATGGACTATTCCATTTTGATCATGAGGAAAGATGGAAAAGGCATACAGGGACACCATTTGAATTCGGTGAGAAAAAGAAAGTAAAACTAAAACAGAAATACTGTGAAATTTTCACAGGTACTACTAGTTTTTATATATTTGTTAAAACAAAATTCTGGTCATGATTTTACCCCCACAGCACAAGGAATAGAAAATACATTGATAAAGAAACTATATAAAACGTAAACAGTTCTTGATGACAGCAAAAATAAAAATACAAAGATGCTCGCTTGAATTCCAGACGCACTGAACATGCAAAGACTCAGAGTAAATACTTGATTAGTATTTATAATAGTACAAAAAATACATCTTAAGCAGTTAAAACATGAAGAAAAATTAACAATACTTAAAACAAATCCCCTTTGAAATAACTTATGACAATGGGCAATTTTTGCATTCCCTTATTCCCACTAAATGAAAAAAAAAAAATGGAAGAATGCTGAAAAAACTAAAAAAAAAAAATAAAATTTCCCTTGTCTGTTACATTTAACAAAAGATGTCTAAAAGAAAGGCTGTTGCCCAAAATTATATATATATATATATATATGTCTTAAGATGTGCTATATTTATGGGATAAAGTGATATCAGAGATAGAGTCTGTCTATATTTCTGAGATGAGGTATTATGATCATTATTTACATTATTCGGACTGTTGTCCTCATCTTTGTCGCCATATTTATCACAACGTTTCGGCTGTTGTATGCTCCGGCCTTCTTCAGGTGGTTGGAATTTTGAACTGAACCCGTGGAGAACTTTCAGAGGGAAAATTAACAGGAGATAACTGATAACGGACATCCATCAAACATGGCACGTGGAACTAGAACAGTCTACCCCAGTGAGC